CCTACGCCTTGGCCGGCGACTCACAGCAGCCCAGCTCCAGGTTGAGCTGTTGTTCAGCATCTTAGCTGTGGAGGGCAGTGTCGCTGGCCCTCGTATATGGGATCCGAACCGGGGCCCTCTGGCATCCCAAGCGAGTTCTTAACCATCGCGCCACTCGGCCGGCCCTGGAAAACATATTCTTAATTATTGACATGCTTTATCAGTCCTGTATGAATTTTAGTGGCAAATTCAGGCTCAGTGTCACTTCCATCTGGGATTACTAGGAGTAATGTTTCCACTCCTCATTGGTAAGAGTACAGCAGGAATTTGGGCACCTACAGCAAAATAAAGCAAATTTTAGGAGGTCTGTCATCAGCTGCCTTTCTATTCAATGAGAAGAATTGATCACCATCAAGAGGTTTATTTCTCCATGTCTGGGTCAAGCAACAATGGCATGCCCGGGCTCTTCACTGGATTCAAAGGTCACCAAACCCTTTGAGCATAAACATGGCCACATGAACATACCCTTCCTCAAGAAGAAAGGAGAACCATAATATTGGATTTAGGTGGTTCATGTTCCTCAGCAAAGGGCACTCTACAGACTGGAGTACTTGAGAAAAAGGAAGTACTTTTAATTAAAATGCAGAGACTCAGAAACTGATGTCAGGGGTACAATTTAGTTGCAATGGCCTTTTTGGAGGTGGGAGCTTGCTGGGCAACAGAAGTACCAGAAATACTTGTTCCAAGGCTTCATGTGATGTTTGGGATCAGTTCAGGAGCCCTGTGAAGAAAAGAATTAAAAATAACCCAAGCTCAGAGGCTACATTTCCTTTCCCTCTAGAGTCCCAGGAGAGAGAAGAAATATAGAGAGGGGCTGAGTGTTGGCCTGGTGGAAAATGAAAGAGAGTTTCCTTCAGCAATGGGGCAAAGTCGTGTTCACTGCTTATATCCACCCAAATATGAAAATGGGACCAAGAGTTGGGGGCAATTGGCTCAACTTGAAAAAGAGGAACAGCCACTGAGAGTTTCTCCTTATCCTCAGGGCACTTCCTCTGATGTATTGTGAACACAGAGTACTCATTAAATGCTCCCAAACTCATGTTGCAGTGAAATGAATTGCACCGCAAGAAGGAAGAAGGGAGAAGAAACACCACCTATTGGCTGAGGAGCTGGTTAGCCTGAACTGAAAGTAAAAGGGAAGATGAACCCAGTAATCGAGAGAGTAAAGAGCAACATCTTAGAAAATTACACAAACATTTGCATCCCATTCCCATGTCACTGGGAATTAAAGCAGGGCTTAATTTGTGGATGTAAGCCTACCCCAGGCTTAAAAGAACACCCTGCAGAATAGGGTATCTATTCAGTAGCCTCAGGTATGTAACTGGGCCAAAAGCTCAGTGTAGGCATCTTGCTCCATATAGGGCTGTCACTGACTTATCATATCATAGTCTGATTTCAGTGGCCTCATTTTCTCTGTCATTTTTTCTTTTCGGTCTCAACGTCTTCACTAAAGAATAGGAGAACGAGACAGTGGAAAGGCAATGTCAACCACTTTTCAGAAGTTTCTTACCTCGTTGGCCTTTGAAATGGAGAGTGAAGCTCAGCATGAGGGCAGTGAGCCCCAGCACAAAGCCCCCAACTCCAGTCAGCATCTTGCTCCTGGCTGAAGCTGACTGCACCCCTGGGAAGAGCAGACCCTAGGGTCAGTCTTACCTCCATGTACTGAAACCCTGGCCCTGTCTGACACCGAGAGCCTGATATAGAGTACTGTGGAGAGAAAGGAAGAAGGCTGGGCCAAGCTTGGAACCACTATGGAGAAGGAGTAGATGTGGAAAGCACCCCAAAGTTCTGGGTCTCAGACTAGTGATGTCCACAGGAGGCAAATATTAATTTTAGGTCAATCCATTAAGTCAAAGCTTAAGGGACTGAAGGGAGACAGAAGGGAGGGGCTGGGCCCATGTTTGAGGGCCAGTCATGAAGCTGATTACTTTTCTGACAAGGAGAGATTCTTTAGGACCCCCTTGGACAGGGATAAATGTCTGGTAGAATCACCAGATCTCCACTGCTCCCAGCCCAGACCACAGTTAAGGGGTTGATGAGGACACACGGGGAGGTGTGACTCCAACGTGTAGTGAGCGGACCTCAGAGGGTCATCAGAGAGTAACTCACTCCACTCTACAGTGACAGGACTGTCCAAGCTGGGGTGTTCCACTTGGCAGATGTAGACGTCTCCCTGCTGGGGGGTCATTTCCAGCATCACCAGGATCTGGAAGGTCCAGTCTCCATTATGGATCGGGGTGGTGGACACAACCCCAGCTGTTTCCTCCTGTCCGTTTAGGAACCAGCAGACTTGAATGTCTCCTGGATAGAAATCTGTCACGTGGCAGACAAGCAGGTTGTGGTGCTGCAGGAGCCCCTTCTTGGAGGGGGAGACGTTCACTTTCGGCTGGACTACGAGTAGGAAATGAATCTTGTTATGACCACTGAGTGCAGTGCACTCAGTGATTTTCTTGACAAATTGACTTCTAGATGTTAAAGATGAATAGATCCTCTATTTGGAGGCAGAAGATGAGGAACAGAGTAGGAAAAACAGAATAAAACGTTCAAGTGTTCCAAACATCCTTGTCATACACAATAAAGAAAGAGCAGAGAAAGGGCCGGCCGAGTGGCTCAGTTGGTTAAGAGCTCGCTCAAGAGTGTGAGCTCTGAGGAACAGCGGTTCTATTCCCAGCCCGACCTGAGTTGCTGCTGAGCTGCCAACAGGTGGCAGGATGGCTCAGCTAAAAAAAACAAAAAAAAACAAAAACAAAAAACGAGCAGAGAAGAATAGGAGATGGACAAAGGTGGCATTCTATTATACTTTTGTCAGAAATGTACAAGTGAGTGGCTAATGTTCTTGGAACAGAAATGTTGAAACAGCTATGAAACTACCTAAATTTACACTTCCCTATCTTCTTCAAAAGGATGCATAATCCTTCCAAATATTATCTTGAAGTCAGAGTATATTTAGTCACTAGCATTCCTTTGATCTATCAGCCTCATATCCTCATTAAAAAAAGAGATGAAGAAATAGAGTACCTTGATTCGTTCTTCATTTAACCTGTGTGTCTCTTGGCCATGTCTACCAAAAACATTTTGTAGCAAGATCCACAGACTCAATGTTCTTAGCTCTTTTGTGTTGGCTTAGCTGAGAGTTTGGCCCTTTTCCATGTGATCAGGCCTCACCCCCATGAAACCCTTTGGGTTCCTGCCACCCAGCCTGGGACACAGTGGGGCTTGGGGATGGGAAACAGGCCCTTCCTCTCCTCTGCTGCCCAAGCCCATCCCCTCCAGGGTCTTCTCTTTCCCACCCACCCCCTCACCTCTGCGCTTCAGCGTGAAACCCTTGTCCAACTCGTAGTTGTGTCTGCACGCTGTGTCCACGGCACTCTTTCTCAGCTCCAGGAACTCTCTCTGGATGTTCCAGTTCTTGGCAGTTATGCGCCCGAGCTCAGTCACAGCCACAAACACCCCCACGGCACTGTCAAACCGGATGTACACTTCTCTGTTGTAAGCGTATTGCTCCAAGAAGCGGTGTGTCCCATTGAACTCAAAGCAGTTGCTCCTTCTCTGGTACACGTAAAACTCTGGAGAGGGAGAGGCCAGGGCAGGGCAGAGCTGGGAGAGGCCCCAGCACCCACAGGACGCTCGGCCACTTCCCTGGGTAAGCCCTTCACCCTGAAGTTGAGTGTCTACACCCAGGGCCATGTATTTTCTGTCTTTTGCCTCTTTATTCCTGAATTGCCATCTTCCTTCCAGTACAGTGCCCAGTTACATCACTCAGAGGAGTCACTCTGCCCTCTGTCCAGCAGTACTGACCCAGGGCCTCCAGTTGGCCAACACAAAAACTTTATGCTCACCACCTTCTTAGTATTTTCTCTATCTCTATCTCTATCTCTATCTCTATCTCTATCTCTATCTCTATCTCTATCTCTTCACCTCACCTCCACTCTCAATAAGCCAACAAGTCAACACAGTATTATTTATTACTGTTGATGTAAAGGTATTTTGCTAACTACCCCTATACCTGTCACATTCCAGGATTAAGTTATAAAATATACATCTTCTTATCCCCAGTCATGTGATCTTGGATAAATAATAGAACCTCTCTGGTCCAAAGTTTTCTTACCCAATAAATGGGGGATTTACCCGAATAACCACTGAAGTCTTTTCCAGCATTAATAATATAGAGCCCTGGGATGGCCAAGTGGCTCAGTTGGTTAAGAGTGTGAGCTCCAAGAAACAGGGTTGCCGGTTCGATTCTCACATG